ACAGTAACACTTTGATGCCCCTCCAGGTACGTGACCGGTTGACCAGAACCCCCACATCGGGTATCAGTGCATCTGCATATCTGTATGAGTACATGTTATTCATCATCTTTCATAAAATACTGACAGATGTGACGAATGTTTGAACTTTTTTTGTTCTTTCTAACCTCCCAAAACGTATTTGGAAGGCACCGCTCAATATTCATTAAGTGGGCTCTGCGAAAGAAATGCGGCAGGAAAAAAATCTGGAAAAATTGGGAAAATACCCCAAAGTCAATAATTTGCCCTGGCACCAGGTGGGTCCAAGCATATTTTGGAGGGAGGGGCCTATGCGCTCGTGCCTTTCAATTCGTCGGGAGGTTGCTGGCATGATGCGTTTCTGGCACGTCTGGTGTTGGTGCAAAGTGTTAAAACGCTTTCTTTTTTTTCCTCACATGAGGTAAGCTAACAACATTGGCAACCTCTGGGACAATCGAATGCAACTCAATCCGGGCGGAGGATTTCATGTCTTTCCGGAAAATGAAATGATGTCATTTCATGCCGCCGGCTCACTTGGGGAGTGACGTGATTGAACGCAAAGTGCTCAACATGGCCCGTGTGTCATCCTGCTTTTGTGATTATATCTCGCTGCTAATGGCCAAAAAGAGATTAGCAAGACTATGAACCACATTTCTGTTTTGAAATGTCCTTTTTGTATTTGTGAAAACTGGCGTATCATTCAGAGATGTTTACAATTACAACTCAAAGCCCCGTCATTTTAGGAATGCGTTTTGTAATAATATCAAATTAATAACAGCAAATATAAATCAGAGATGATGTCATGTGTTCCTAAACATAGTCTTGATCCTGATTTTAAAAAATGTCTGTACTTTTTTTTTTAGCATATTAGGTATTTGAGATATTCTCATTTTGTATTTTTAATTTTGACCGATAGAAGCTCGCGCAATATGGATTTTACCACACATTGTAATTTATAGGTGTGACGCTTCTGAAAAAAATTCCCAATATATTGGCATCTTGTTGCCAAGCAATAATTCAACTGATGGGAGGAGCTTCATTTCGTCATAACATACCCTCGTCTCATCGAAAAAAAAATGCTTTGCTGCCATCTTGTGGCACATATAGGCAATTACAGATTTCTTGGCGTCAATTCTTCACGGATTTTTGCTATTTGGGCTCTATGAAGCTAGAGATGCTAGTAATATACATTTATAATAATCCAATATGTTATTTTGTCTGTCCCAAATAAATGATATCACAATCTTGACCTTGAACGTATTTTCCTCTGTGGAAAGGTTTTCCAGAAGAAACGACGGTCACCACGGATGACCGAAAAACCAAACGATTTCTATTACGAGTGTGATGAAGCACAAACGCTTCCCGTTTCAGGAAGCGGCGTCGACTGCGCGGATGGTGCAGATCTTCATTTCCATAAACACTGTCACATCACAAATTGTTCAGATTCCAAGACCTTTCTCCTTCCTTCCTGTCTGCTTAATGTTTGGCAGTCGGTGACAAGCACTGCCAAGGTGGCTCGCTACTTTTGAGCAAAGCCGTCCTAAGAATACGTATACAATAGGCCAAAAGGCTGCTACGGGTGAAGAGGAAAATAAAAGGAGTGGAAAAAAAACATCTGACGATCATGCACGGCTCTCGTTGGGTTCACCTTCTTTTGGACAATGCCAATAATGGTCTTTTTTTTTTTTTTTTTTTTTTAGGCCAATGCCAACAAAATTGCGATAACTGATTAATCCACCAACTATTTTTACAAATATTATTATAATTCGGGAAGGCCTTATATCAGCTGATAATAGAGGAGAGTATGCAAGGCTTTACTGGATGACTAATTAGGTCACGCCAGCTATGAGAGGGCCGATTCCGTTTCAACGTGTAGCATGAGCTCATCATGTTAGCCACAGACCAGAATAGTCGCATATGAGCGCATCATGTGTTTCTTGCCGTGCTCCTGGTTCGGATTTCCACACCTGGACTCCCTTGGCCCGTCATGTGCAGCGCTGGCGAGCATACTTTGTGGACCCTTAAACTAAATACGGAAAGAATCTTAATTTGAGCCGAGCCAAATACTGCCCAGGCTTTATTATTATGATTATTATTATTAGCAGCATTATTCCCCGAGCCAAATTGTGATGACATAAAAGCCACTCTCACCTTTCCATTTTGTTTTTTTCTCCCAGGACCGCTCCAGGCTACACGAGAGTCTCAACATGCATTCGCTGGAGAGCTCCCTGATTGACATCATGCGAGCCGAGCAGGATCCCATGAAAGGTGAGCACTGCCTATCACTTTCCGTACTAAGTGTGTTTGTGTGAGTCTGTGTCGGATCGGGAAGCCTCCTGGGAAGTTGTGTAGTGTTTCGGTACCCAAGTTTATTTCCTTCCCTGCTGGATGAGTCCTCCGGCTGGGTATTTACACCACCCAAATTGTTGTATAGTGGACCCCCACTATTGGCGGGGGATAGCGAACAGCAAAAATAGTTGACAGCCATTGTAAATGCATTGAAATAAGGTGCTGCTGGGTTTGATTCATGTGTGGAGTTTGCATTTTCTCCCCGTGCCTGCGTGGGTTTTCTCCGGGTGAACAGGTGGTGAACTATGAGAGTGCGGTGGGGTGTGGGGGGTAACTGTAATGTGTTTTTCATTATTGAATCCTACTTTATACAGTAATGACATAAATAGAATATAAAGGAATTAGCCAATTTTTTGCGACACTTTTTTTTTTATTTATTTCTGAACACATATTGTTTTTTTTCGTCTTGCTTGGATTTAAATTTATTTCTCCACAGGGCTGACGTTTGTATTTTTTTTGAGTTTGTTGGTTCTTTCGAGATAATGAATACAAGTGGACGTGGGTGAATATTCCTGTCAAAATACATGAGTGGCTATCGTTTAGAAAGTTAAGAGAAGGGGAAATGATCCAAGGCATACCTCATCATGTGCCCAACACTTACCCATGATCCAAAGCATGCCACATCACATATATACTGTATGCAACATTGACCTATTCGTCGACTAATTTCTTTCGTTGGCCCCCCTCCCAGCCTATGATGAAGCAGTCTCCCTGGGGTCCTCACCAGGGCAACGGCTGGAGTTCGGGCGGCGTGTCTTGGGGGCGCGACCACCGCAAGGGGGCGGGCCAGGGCGGCCACGTCTCGTCGCCCCTCAAGAAGGCCTTCCCGAGCAATGTCATCGCCCCGCCCAAGTTACCGCGCTCGGCTGCCTCGCTGGGGCCCAAGGCTTGGCCGGAGGACAACGTGTTTCGTGTGGATGGCAACAGTAACACTTTGATGCCCCTCCAGGTACGTGACCGGTTGACCAGAACCCCCACATCGGGTATCAGTGCATCTGCATATCTGTATGAGTACATGTTATTCATCATCTTTCATAAAATACTGACAGATGTGACGAATGTTTGAACTTTTTTTGTTCTTTCTAACCTCCCAAAACGTATTTGGAAGGCACCGCTCAATATTCATTAAGTGGGCTCTGCGAAAGAAATGCGGCAGGAAAAAAATCTGGAAAAATTGGGAAAATACCCCAAAGTCAATAATTTGCCCTGGCACCAGGTGGGTCCAAGCATATTTTGGAGGGAGGGGCCTATGCGCTCGTGCCTTTCAATTCGTCGGGAGGTTGCTGGCATGATGCGTTTCTGGCACGTCTGGTGTTGGTGCAAAGTGTTAAAACGCTTTCTTTTTTTTCCTCACATGAGGTAAGCTAACAACATTGGCAACCTCTGGGACAATCGAATGCAACTCAATCCGGGCGGAGGATTTCATGTCTTTCCGGAAAATGAAATGATGTCATTTCATGCCGCCGGCTCACTTGGGGAGTGACGTGATTGAACGCAAAGTGCTCAACATGGCCCGTGTGTCATCCTGCTTTTGTGATTATATCTCGCTGCTAATGGCCAAAAAGAGATTAGCAAGACTATGAACCACATTTCTGTTTTGAAATGTCCTTTTTGTATTTGTGAAAACTGGCGTATCATTCAGAGATGTTTACAATTACAACTCAAAGCCCCGTCATTTTAGGAATGCGTTTTGTAATAATATCAAATTAATAACAGCAAATATAAATCAGAGATGATGTCATGTGTTCCTAAACATAGTCTTGATCCTGATTTTAAAAAATGTCTGTACTTTTTTTTTTAGCATATTAGGTATTTGAGATATTCTCATTTTGTATTTTTAATTTTGACCGATAGAAGCTCGCGCAATATGGATTTTACCACACATTGTAATTTATAGGTGTGACGCTTCTGAAAAAAATTCCCAATATATTGGCATCTTGTTGCCAAGCAATAATTCAACTGATGGGAGGAGCTTCATTTCGTCATAACATACCCTCGTCTCATCGAAAAAAAAATGCTTTGCTGCCATCTTGTGGCACATATAGGCAATTACAGATTTCTTGGCGTCAATTCTTCACGGATTTTTGCTATTTGGGCTCTATGAAGCTAGAGATGCTAGTAATATACATTTATAATAATCCAATATGTTATTTTGTCTGTCCCAAATAAATGATATCACAATCTTGACCTTGAACGTATTTTCCTCTGTGGAAAGGTTTTCCAGAAGAAACGACGGTCACCACGGATGACCGAAAAACCAAACGATTTCTATTACGAGTGTGATGAAGCACAAACGCTTCCCGTTTCAGGAAGCGGCGTCGACTGCGCGGATGGTGCAGATCTTCATTTCCATAAACACTGTCACATCACAAATTGTTCAGATTCCAAGACCTTTCTCCTTCCTTCCTGTCTGCTTAATGTTTGGCAGTCGGTGACAAGCACTGCCAAGGTGGCTCGCTACTTTTGAGCAAAGCCGTCCTAAGAATACGTATACAATAGGCCAAAAGGCTGCTACGGGTGAAGAGGAAAATAAAAGGAGTGGAAAAAAAACATCTGACGATCATGCACGGCTCTCGTTGGGTTCACCTTCTTTTGGACAATGCCAATAATGGTCTTTTTTTTTTTTTTTTTTTTTTTTTTTTTTTGCCACATCACAAAATGCAAGGCTTTACTGGATGACTAATTAGGTCACGCCAGCTATGAGAGGGCCGATTCCGTTTCAACGTGTAGCATGAGCTCATCATGTTAGCCACAGACCAGAATAGTCGCATATGAGCGCATCATGTGTTTCTTGCCGTGCTCCTGGTTCGGATTTCCACACCTGGACTCCCTTGGCCCGTCATGTGCAGCGCTGGCGAGCATACTTTGTGGACCCTTAAACTAAATACGGAAAGAATCTTAATTTGAGCCGAGCCAAATACTGCCCAGGCTTTATTATTATGATTATTATTATTAGCAGCATTATTCCCCGAGCCAAATTGTGATGACATAAAAGCCACTCTCACCTTTCCATTTTGTTTTTTTCTCCCAGGACCGCTCCAGGCTACACGAGAGTCTCAACATGCATTCGCTGGAGAGCTCCCTGATTGACATCATGCGAGCCGAGCAGGATCCCATGAAAGGTGAGCACTGCCTATCACTTTCCGTACTAAGTGTGTTTGTGTGAGTCTGTGTCGGATCGGGAAGCCTCCTGGGAAGTTGTGTAGTGTTTCGGTACCCAAGTTTATTTCCTTCCCTGCTGGATGAGTCCTCCGGCTGGGTATTTACACCACCCAAATTGTTGTATAGTGGACCCCCACTATTGGCGGGGGATAGCGAACAGCAAAAATAGTTGACAGCCATTGTAAATGCATTGAAATAAGGTGCTGCTGGGTTTGATTCATGTGTGGAGTTTGCATTTTCTCCCCGTGCCTGCGTGGGTTTTCTCCGGGTGAACAGGTGGTGAACTATGAGAGTGCGGTGGGGTGTGGGGGGTAACTGTAATGTGTTTTTCATTATTGAATCCTACTTTATACAGTAATGACATAAATAGAATATAAAGGAATTAGCCAATTTTTTGCGACACTTTTTTTTTTTGCTTCACTTCATGACTCATTTCAATCATGAAAGATAATTTCTGATACGCGTTGTGAATTCCAAGGATGGTCACGGAATGAATTCGACTCGTATTTCAAGGCGCCGCTGCATTTCCAAAACCCCATTTTCAACTCCCATGGAAATTTACCAGGACTTTCCCACCCCTGTGGAACCCGACTCACTATTTGGCCACCAATGCTGCCCTATTATGGGACCTTTGTGATAAAAACATCCCAAAACGCATACGGTACCAAACTGAACTCAACCGTACTGCTTGAAGGAAACGGGGCTTCTACATTCGAATGATTCCTTTGCACCTTCCCCACCAGCTTTCATACTTTCATGGACATCATTTCTACAGTTTGCATAATCCTATTGACAAGCAACCAGGGATTGTCTGGAACATAAACGCACCACCGGATCCCCCTTTAGAAAGGCAGCTTTGTTGTTCTTCCTGTAACAGCAGATGGAGAGGACACGGGCCGAGCGGGAGTGCGGTAGAACGGCTAAGGCTAATTTTAGACGCCATCGCCCTTTCACACGCTGCGTTTGACAGCCAGGAGAGGAAAGGCAAAGCGGAGGAGAAAGAAGGAGGAGAAAGTAGGAGGAGGAGGAGTAGAAGGAGCAGGGCTGGCCAGGGTGGTCTGCTGTTGCTATTATTAGCCGTTTCCAAACACCCGGGACCCCAAATATTCACATGACACTTGATTAATTATGACGCAATGAATAGCATATTGAGCTAGCATGCAATGTTTGAGCTCAGTGTGACTACGTGTGTTTCTTTGTCCAGGTCGCATTGGATGCCTGAACCAGGCTGCCGACGGGCTCCTCATGCTCAACGGTAATTATCTTTTAATGTCATTACAGTGTTCACTTCCGGAGACGCTTACACAATAATTAAGCAGCACGAATGGCCAAATCTGTAATTTCTGGAACTGTCTCATGCATAGAGCAAAATGATGTCTTGAGGTATTTATATCCAGTGCAGTATATTTGTGAAGTACAATTCTGTTGTATTTAACTTTGCAGTACATTTGTATTTCATCTTTTAGAACCGTTTTTTTTTTATTTTTTTTATCAGACATTTATACAGGAACATGGTTTTTTTTTTATAATCAAACTCACTGTGCGTTTTATGTATTTAACTGAATCATTATGTACAGTTGTATTCTCATTTTCGCTGTACAGAATTAAGCACAGTGTTGAAAGTGTGAAAGTATTTTTTTAGTTCATTTTTTTAGCTCCAAATACCTGAAACATTGTCCTACATTTACACGCAGCCAGGAGCTATGGGAGACGTCGAGGTAAACCTTCAACTAATTAAGCACGTCTGCTTATTGTGTGGCTTTTTTCATTTTAGATATGGCTTGTTTTTTTTTTTGTTTTTTTTTAACCTGCTGTGCTTTTTTTTTCATCTGGATGCAGAAGCCCTAGCAGCCTAATAATCAAAGGGATTATTAAAGTTTAATGACGTAGTAGAAAGAGATTGTGTTTCTCACCTTGTTCCAAATTATTCGCCATTTGCTGTTTTTGCTCTTTTTCCAAATGAAATGAATACAAATTTTGGATAAATGCATCGCTAGCTAGCTCGATAGCTAGGTAGCTAGCTTGCTCGATTGATCGATTTTAAATAATGCTGTATTGTATATGCTTGATGCTGTTGGATTGAGCAGGGAGGCTTTGTTCTTTCCATCTTTTTGTTTCCAACAAATTGTGGATAATCCTCGTCGGTGCTGACATAACACAATAACACGTGACCGCCCCTGCCCTTGACCTCGTCTCAATCTCCCCCTCTAGGGCGCTCTTCTCTTTTCCCCATCGATGACAATCTCCTGGATGATGCTCACGGCAACCAGGGTCTCTCGGGGGTCCTGGGTTCGGCCGGCTGCTACCCGCATCAGAACGGCGAACGCATCGAGCGCTTCTCGCGCAAGGTGTTTGTGGGCGGGTTGCCGCCTGACATAGACGAAGGTGAGAATGGCGGGGGCCGAATCGGGTCTGCAGGGACAGTGATTTCTCAACGTGAGCGTGGTCCGCAGGCGCTCTCTAGTGGTCCGCCGAAAAACACACTGACTATTCAGTTGTATTTCACTTTTAAAATTCATACAGTTGCATTCAGAATTCAGACAGATGTACAAACAAGTACTTTTGTTAGTGTGCCAATAATTGTGGGATGTTTTTCTACCAGACGTATTTCTCTCAACACTTTGTTTCCACTTCGCCGGCAGATGAAATAACCTCCAGCTTCCGCCGCTTCGGTCACCTGGTGGTTGACTGGCCTCACAAAGCTGAGAGCAAGTCCTACTTTCCACCCAAAGGATACGCCTTCCTGCTGTTCCAGGAGGAGACGTCGGTGCAGGCTCTGATTGAAGCCTGCATGGAGGAGGACGGGAAGCTCTACTTGTGCGTCTCCAGCCCCACCATCAAGGATAAACCTGTGAGTCCAACAGCAATGGAAACTTTTAAAATTAGAATCTTTCCGCGGGAATTGACTGACCCTCGCTTGGGCTTCGGATTGAATGTCATAAATTTCCGTCTGAGGTTTCCCACTTGGAGAGTAAGAGAGTAAAGGAATCTCTCGTCCGCAGGTGCAAATCCGTCCTTGGAACCTGAGCGACAGCGACTTTGTGATGGACGGCTCTCAGCCCCTGGACCCCCGCAAGACCATCTTTGTGGGAGGCGTCCCTCGTCCCCTGAGAGCAAGTAATGACCGCCGTTTTGTCTTTTCTTGCTCATCGTCTTTGAGACCGCTAACTCTGATGGTCTCACTTGACGCCTAGTCGAACTGGCCATGATCATGGATCGCCTCTACGGGGGCGTCTGCTACGCCGGGATCGACACCGACCCGGAGCTCAAGTACCCTAAAGGGGCGGGACGGGTGGCCTTCTCCAACCAGCAGAGCTACATCGCCGCCATCAGCGCCAGATTTGTGCAGCTGCAGCATGGCGACATCGACAAGCGGGTATGCTGATGGTGGACAGACTGAGTTGAAATTGGCGGACAGCCCAATCTAGCGTGCGAATTCCGTGGGCTACGGACACTACTCATTCCGCGTGTTTAATATTGTATGTTTGGCTGATGTGCCGATGTCGCAGGTGGAGGTGAAGCCGTACGTGCTGGACGACCAGTTGTGCGACGAGTGCCAGGGCGCTCGCTGCGGCGGCAAGTTTGCGCCCTTCTTCTGCGCCAACGTCACCTGCCTGCAGTACTATTGCGAGTTCTGCTGGGCCAACATCCACTCGCGTGCCGGCCGTGAGTTCCACAAGCCCCTGGTCAAGGAGGGCGCCGACCGCCCGCGCCAGATTCACTTCCGCTGGAACTAGAAGATATCAGTGTAACCCCCAGCTAAACCCGAGTTGTCCAAACCTGGAGCCATTTGCAGCCTGCCGCCATTTTTTTTTAGACAAAACGCAAGACACACTTAAATTCATACCCAACCAGACAAAAATAATTCACAAAAGCAAACAACTGTCATGACATTATCTTGCCAAACTGTTTTTCAAAGGTCTGACAGCCAACAGTGCTGATTTAGCAGTTTAATAAGTGAAAATGAATCTGGACGCACTTTCCATTTTGAACAAAACAGCATCTGTAACCTTGCGATTTTCGCTCCTTATCTAAGACAAAATCCAGACTTTCATTCTTGAGACGACATCATGTCTCACAGCTCACGCAAACTGAGGTGGAGTCTCAGAGAGTCCGAGAGGGTTGGACCTCAAGCTATTTTCAATGCATTCAATTGATTAATAATGTGTGAAAATAACACACGACGTAGCATAGAGTTGTGAAAAAAACAACCATATTTGGACATCCGACGTTTCCACCCGACAGTGACGATATATCACACAATTTAGAGTTCTTTCACATCTTTCTGATCGACTGATTTGAGTGTGTTCGAGTGGAAGGATGTCAAAGTGATCCTTGACGCCGTTGAATTTTCCATAGGCGGCCGTTGGAAGAAAAAGTTTGCACACCCCTGCACTAAACCGTAGGGCACCGCTCTAGGTAGCAGCCGAGCTTTCTTTGCAGCCAGCATCACTACTTTTTCACCCCATATCTCAGGCTCTTTTTTTCTGGTACTTTTCATAGATGAAAAAAAGAAATTGAGATTTTATACATTTTTATTTTATTTTATTTTTTATTTTTTGAAAGCGAGACAAAAACAGCAAATGTTAATATTTGCCGTGGGGTGATGGTCTGCTGCTTGCCAACCCCACGCGGCGCGCATCCTACACTCATGCCTGCTGAGGACGCTAACCAAAGGTAGCGAACCATGATAGCAAAGCAGAAATGCCGACACGTGCTTTTAGGATGCAAGACTACTGACCTTTAGCCTCTTTCACAAAGGACATCCTGCAAATTTGCAGAACCTGAGTTGGAAAAGGACAATTTATCCACGTCTGCCTTTCACACGGAACTCGGGATGGGCGCTAAATTTCCATGATAGAAATCCTTTCAACAGCAGATTGTCCGAGATTAAACCAACAGTCAAATGCTAACTATTGGTTCTGTCGTGCCAAATTGCCACATCCGATCCGTAGCAGTTAATGTGCTATTTTTGTCTGTTTTAAACAAAAGATGGGGATTACATTTCCTTCAAAGGTCTCCTTTAGACAGCGAACTAGTTGCGACTGTAGCCTCATCCCTGCTCTGCTGCGAGCTGACGTTGGAGCACTAACGGAGTTTGTCCGCCTTTGCCTTTAACGCAGAACTAGTGATGGGCACAAATTAATTCCAAGTCCCTGCGAAGTGTCAATAAATGTCTCATAAATTTGACACACCCCAGAGAAGACTTTCATAACAACCTTGCCAAATTTTTATGATTATAATCATTACCAGGTGTATGAAATGAGTATTCCAAATGCTGATAAATTAGCTCAATGCTACTTCTACTAGCTTGAAAAATGGATGCTACTTTGCCCAGCATCTTTCTTATGTCGACACATACTTACTTCTCGCAAGATGGACATTTGATAAAAAAGTGACATGCTTGCACTCAGGCCACAATAGCTAGGACTATCTGAAGGGAAGATGCTTTTTTTAGGGTGTTGCCCGAGCAATCGAGCTCGCTAACTATTTAAAAAAAAACACTTACTGGTAGCTAGTTAGCTAACTAACTAACTAACTAACTAACTAACTAGCTAAGTGTACATCCCAATTGATGCTCTCAAGCCACATGTGGGAACTATCTGAAGGGAAGATGTATTAAATTAAATTGCTAGCTAGCTAGCTAGTGATTAAAAAAAACAAACAGTCGATGCGTTAGCTAGCTAGCTAACTAACTGCATGTCCCAATTGCACCGGATAACTAGTGATGTCAACAAAGGCCCTGTTAGTTCTGGCTGATGCCAAAGTGCTTCTCTGGGTGTTGTTTTAGTCACATCCAAGCAGTCAGGAAATGGTGAAAGACAACTGAATGCTAAAACTCCACACGTCATTGCTGTACCAGACACCGGTAGTTCCCAGGTTTTGTATTTAGAATCAAATTTCTGAATACTTTGTACAGGGTCTTAAATGGATTTATTTGGAAAACTAGTCTGGATCCACTAGTGTCGTGTTCGTTAGAGAGCAAATAACTTCAGACTGAATCAACAGTTAGCCTCTTTCCGACAATTAGTTGAGAGGACAATTTCAGCACAAGGTTACGACTCTGACACTACCTCCTGAGCCAGAAAATTTCTCGACTTTGCCCACCTTCTATTTCCGCGTCAATGCTGTTTAAACAAAACAGTAACATGAGGGGAAAAAGGCGAAGAAAAAAGAAAAATGCTAGGCACTGCGATTTCCATGGAATGATACCTCCAAATCTTTTCATTGCTCACTGTATTCAACATTTACAGTATACGCAACAAGCTATAGTAGGAACTTTCGCTGCTATTAAGAAAATAATATATGAGTAGTTGTGTAGGGCAAATATTTGATGCCGTTTAACCCCCCTATTTCATTGTGGGTTGAGTTAAGGCAATAAACCATTTTTTAAAAAAATGATTGAAGTAGATTATATGGGAAATAGTTAGGGATTTATTTAAAAATTAGGTAAACAGCTCTGGAAAAAAATAAGAGACAAAACAAACAGACTGGCCTTCTTTGGCTGGGGGTGGTATCAAAACCGAGTGGACATACAAAAACCATCACAAAATTTCGCCGGAAAAAAATCATATGAAAACAAGGTTCCACAATACCAACAACATATGCAGATAAGCTGATCCTTTTGTCGGACTCTCTTATTTTTTTACCAAAGCTGTACGTAAGGTTTATTTGGATTTATTTTAATTTTTTTTAAGTTTGTGACAATTTCCGATCGTTCGAGGCACACTGTTGCTATTCCTGAACATACCAAACGTAACGAGAGGCTTAAAAATAATAAAAATGTTCATGCAGTGATACATTTATGGCAGTGAACGTTTGGAACCAGCTAGCATGCAGGATGGACGTAAGGAACAACAATAACCAGGAAGACAAATCAGTAATAAGTAGCATGAATCGAAAAGAAGTGTATGTGCAGCGGGGTGAAACTCCGGAGCGATTCAATAAAAAAAAAAAAAAACATATTTAAACCTGCATGCTTCAGTGTTTATATGTTCGTTAACGCCAAAAACGTGATTCTGCTGTAGACTTTTAGTGGACAAAAAAACAAAAAGTGTGGTGTTCGGTGATTTTGTGTGTGTGTGTGTGTGTGTGTGTGTGTGTGCGTGTGTGTGTGTGTGTGTGTGTGTGTGTGTGTGTGTGTGTGTGAAAACGAGGCTGTGGTGAACCTACGTTGACAAGAGGTGGGCTTTACTGTTTCCAAGGTGACACGGATGCAAACGAGTTGATTGGATGACTTGTCCTCAGGCCGTGCTGTACAAGCGTGTACTTGCTGTGTTGTCATGGTTACGCTGTGGCTTGTGTTGACTACTTCCCCTCACTGGACCTTCCCTGATTGCATTTTTAAAATTTTAATACAGTCATATATATTATTATTTATATTATTATTTTTTTTTTTTTTATTATCATTATTATTATTCCAAAGCGGGTTAATATGATGCACAAGGAACATGAAACAATAACCCTCCCCAAAAATAAAAGTGATAAAGAACAAATTAGGGAGAAAATTAGTGGAACTGTTGCAAAAGGCTGCCAAGTCACAGGAGCCTCTTTCATTGTCGTCTGATTAGGTCTGATGAAAAGTCCTAGAAATAACATGTAGTGATTTAACCTGGCTACCCTGCTCATCTAATGTGGGATGGCACTCCAGAGATGGCTCGTGACGATCAATCAGGAAGAGCGTTGGAACACTGACACGGACGGGTGCTCTGCGGACGCAACAGATGTGGTGGGCCAGAGGTTTTGTGGGATGCCATTGAGTATTTATTGTCAGATGTGCTATTTTTGTCTGTTTTAAACAAAAGATGGGGATTACATTTCCTTCAAAGGTCTCCTTTAGACAGCGAACTAGTTGCGACTGTAGCCTCATCCCTGCTCTGCTGCGAGCTGACGTTGGAGCACTAACGGAGTTTGTCCGCCTTTGCCTTTAACGCAGAACTAGTGATGGGCACAAATTAATTCCAAGTCCCTGCGAAGTGTCAATAAATGTCTCATAAATTTGACACACCCCAGAGAAGACTTTCATAACAACCTTGCCAAATTTTTATGATTATAATCATTACCAGGTGTATGAAATGAGTATTCCAAATGCTGATAAATTAGCTCAATGCTACTTCTACTAGCTTGAAAAATGGATGCTACTTTGCCCAGCATCTTTCTTATGTCGACACATACTTACTTCTCGCAAGATGGACATTTGATAAAAAAGTGACATGCTTGCACTCAGGCCACAATAGCTAGGACTATCTGAAGGGAAGATGCTTTTTTTAGGGTGTTGCCCGAGCAATCGAGCTCGCTAACTATTTTAAAAAAAACACTTACTGGTAGCTAGTTAGCTAACTAACTAACTAACTAACTAACTAACTAGCTAAGTGTACATCCCAATTGATGCTCTCAAGCCACATGTGGGAACTATCTGAAGGGAAGATGTATTAAATTAAATTGCTAGCTAGCTAGCTAGTGATTAAAAAAAACAAACAGTCGATGCGTTAGCTAGCTAGCTAACTAACTGCATGTCCCAATTGCACCGGATAACTAGTGATGTCAACAAAGGCCCTGTTAGTTCTGGCTGATGCCAAAGTGCTTCTCTGGGTGTTGTTTTAGTCACATCCAAGCAGTCAGGAAATGGTGAAAGACAACTGAATGCTAAAACTCCACACGTCATTGCTGTACCAGACACCGGTAGTTCCCAGGTTTTGTATTTAGAATCAAATTTCTGAATACTTTGTACAGGGTCTTAAATGGATTTATTTGGAAAACTAGTCTGGATCCACTAGTGTCGTGTTCGTTAGAGAGCAAATAACTTCAGACTGAATCAACAGTTAGCCTCTTTCCAACAATTAGTTGAGAGGACAATTTCAGCACAAGGTTACGACTCTGACACTACCTCCTGAGCCAGAAAATTTCTCGACTTTGCCCACCTTCTATTTCCGCGTCAATGCTGTTTAAACAAAACAGTAACATGAGGGGAAAAAGGCGAAGAAAAAAGAAAAATGCTAGGCACTGCGATTTCCATGGAATGATACCTCCAAATCTTTTCATTGCTCACTGTATTCAACATTTACAGTATACGCAACAAGCTATAGTAGGAACTTTCGCTGCTATTAAGAAAATAATATATGAGTAGTTGTGTAGGGCAAATATTTGATGCCGTTTAACCCCCCTATTTCATTGTGGGTTGAGTTAAGGCAATAAACCATTTTTTAAAAAAATGATTGAAGTAGATTATATGGGAAATAGTTAGGGATTTATTTAAAAATTAGGTAAACAGCTCTGGAAAAAAATAAGAGACAAAACAAACAGACTGGCCTTCTTTGGCGAGGGACCATTTCAATTTTTTTGCAAATGCTCAAAATGAGATTCATGTGATTTTTTTTGGGGGGGGGGGGGGGGGGGGGAGCCCTGGCTTCCCGAGCGGCGCCCATTCATTTTTTTTTTTAAGTTCATACGAGTTGGCCAAAAATGGTACTAGTAGTGGGAAAACAGTGTGCTTAATTGTCTTACTAATGAGGAAAAAGACATGGATTGGATATCAAGAATAAAAGCTCAAGCCGCTTTTCTATGCTAGTGGAGATGATGGAGAGAGGAAAAGAAGGATAAGATAGAGAGAAAAGAGGCGCCGTGATGTTTCTATGGCCGCTCGGAAAAGATTCTAAAGGGTGAGGGAATCTTGCATCACCGCCGCCAGCCAACCAATTGGACGGCTCGATTCCAGTGTTCAAAGGGAGTGTCCTAGCAACAGTGGAATAAATACTGTACCTTGAATCAAAAGAAAAAAAATACAAAAACTATGCACACATTGATATCTTTTTAGACTGATGTAACTCCTTATGAAAGGAATATGTAACATCCAGCCTTCACGTAGACAGTGATGGAATGCTTGCTCGTTTGGAACCCAATTCCTCAACCTCCCATTGCCCATTGGATGAGTTGTCATGGTAACCATCGTAACAGGAACTGATAATGGTCTTGGTAATACGGATGGGTGAGAAAGTACAGTATGTATCGACGCGTTCTCACATCTCGATGGAAGAGCGCGACAGTTGGGCGCAATATATATTATTATTTATATTATTATTATTATTATTATTATGCACTACTTTTTTATATAATATTCGCCCGATGTGATTTAAGTGGAGATTCTCTGAAAAAGCCGACCTTCCCTGATTGCATTTTTAAAATTTTAATACAGTCATATATATTATTATTTATATTATTATTTTTTTTTTTTTTATTATCATTATTATTATGCACTACTTTTTTATATATTATTCGACCGATGTGATTTAAGTGGAGATTCTCTGAAAAAGCCTCCGGTTATTTATTGTCCCACAGACGACTTATCGTGCAATTTAAATTTTTTCATGTGTAGCCTATGAAGTCTTAAGTCAAGTGTGTGTGTGTGTGTGTGTGTGTGTGTGTGTGTGTGTGTGTGTGTGGATAGAGAAGTGATTTCTAATATATTCTTAATGTTGTCCCTCATGTTTAGATACTGTCACCTGTAACACTTGACTTGCATCGTTTTTGTTTAGTGTTTTGTCTGTTTTTGTAAAGCAAAAAAAAAAAATCACATTTATTTCACTATTTTTTTAGACAAAAAACAAATTGATTTTGATTGTATTTTTCTATTTTTTAAAAAATGATTCTATTCCCCTCCTGTAAGCCTTCCTGTTATCGTGATTAATGTTCCTGGGTCAATTTGACCTGGGGCTGTTTCATTATCGAAACATGTTCAGAAACAACAACAACAAAATGTATATATATTTTTTGTTGTCTTACTTTTTAGTGACACTATTTAAGCCAAAAGGTGGTTGCCCGACAAAAAAGCCGTTGAAACATTTGCTTTTTTTTTTTTTTTTACTTCACAACGGGATAGTTTTATCCACAACACAAAAGGACATGGTCAAAAAAAATTGTGTTAGTATGAAACATCTTCTGCCTTACATAGTTGCACTTGTTTTTAATTTAAAAAACTGAATTATGATGATACACTGATTTGCAAAACGTAACGCACTAAATTACATCATTACAATTACTAAATTATTACTGATTTTCTCGACAAACGAGCCATTTGGACTGACTTTTTTTGCTTTGACTTGCAAGCAAAAATCCGAGATACGAGCCCTGTGCGGTGGTGAGCCCAACTCACTTCACAGCAAGGTGCAGTTTGGCAGATTTAGTTTGTAAAAATTAAGCTTCAAGCTGTTAAGCTTAAGTTTACTGTCAAAGTGAATAAAACCAAGAGAATTGCGCGTTTCATCACACAATGCAAAACGTCGTAGGCGGGCGAAAGAAACTAGCAACGATGTTGTCATTTTAAAACTTGAAGCAACTGATATGTGAACAGGAATGACGCATCAACACCTCTAGACAGAAAATATAACAAGACTCGCTGGCACATATTCTTTATCCTCTGCGAAGAATACACATACGGTATTTAGCTACAATATAGATATAAACATGCCTCAGGTCACATTGACCCGGTAACAGGAGGGTTCTTTATGTCCAAGCCTTTAGTTCCAACACACACACACACACACACACACACACACACACACACACACACACACACACACACACACACACACACAGTATTTGATGTGCTTCTTATTTTCATACACGTGCGTGACAGAAGGCAACTGAAGGTTTTGTTCTTCTTGAGATTCTCCCCTTCTGAAACTTGAATTATTATTATTGTCTCTCTACTAACACATTTTGAAAGGCTGACTAACCTCGATTCTGTGCTGTGACGTGCAATACCATTTCTAATGTTTGTACAAAAACTAAGAAGTACCCTGTAAAACCTTTCTAAGATGCAGATTTTATTTTTCTCATTGCATATTTTGCAGATTTTTCTGATTCGCGGTGTCATTTTTTTACTGTTCAACGAGGAGAAAAACAAAGAAAAAGGAACCAGAACCTGTTTTTGTTTTTCATTGCAACTATTTTTAAATCCAGATATCTTTGTACTGATGTAAATGATTGTAGTTATTTTGGATAGTGTTTTGCTAACAAAAGGAGAGACTTTTTCCAGGCATTTTTTCACCTTGTTTTAACCTTCTTTTTTTTCACCCAACAGTAGCAGAATTCTTGGGACTTGTTTTTTTTTTTTTTTTAATCATTATTTTGCATTATTTTTGTATTCCGGTGAACTTCAGAAGATGCTAATAGCTCAGATATTTTAATTAAGCCACAATTTCTAATTCTATGGTTGACATATTTCTGAAATGGGTTTACATACACTACAGGCTCACAAAATGTGATTGTTCTGAGGTATTTGGATGGTAATAAATATGACTGAATGGTTATTTGATATGCAAAATGAACATTGCGTTTTATTTTTTATTTGGCCTTGTTTTATATTTACCTGGTGATTACATTTTTTTTGTTGTTGTTGTTGTTCATTTCAATTCACTTGCAAAATAAAGACCCAGATGGTTTGGACACCTTATGGTTGCTTTTATTTTGAAACATCAAAACCTCTGGCGCGCTGCATTTTAAATTATGGAAAGTTGTCATTTTTTTCAGGGGAGAAAATTTTGGTTGTTGATGTAGTTATTGAAGTGATGGTGGCAAAACATTGCATTGGAACAGAAAACAAGGATGTCATACAGTGTATTCTAAAATTGTGCTTTCTTGTATTTCCAGTATGATATTCTTTTGAAAATATAAATCTATTTTAGTGTATTTTTTTTAATGGATTGTGCTTAGTGCATTGTTCCTTCCTTTAGATTGCTTTTCATCATAAATCTATATGTTGGTGTCATTATCATATTTTTGTTTATTTTATGTTTGTATTTTATTTATTCTTTTCTTTTTTTAATTATATTTTGATATAAATAGCAGATATTTACTTTACGTGCGTTCTTTGTTTTACAGTCTTTAATGTATTTTTAACATCTTTTTAAGCTTTTTAAATTTTCAAAGAAAGTAACGTTTTAATAGAAAAATTATGGTCTTACATTAAAGTAATGGATAGATTTGCCTCTACTCTTAAACATGGCGTTTGCAATTTAGAAAAAAACCCAACACTTTTTGAAATATTTGTGAAAACCTCTGATTAAATCTGACTGGAGTTGCATGAGCGACATGATTTGTGAGAAAAGTCAGCTATTTTTTTTTTTTGTTTGTTTTCTTATTTTTTTTACAAACTGCCGCCCCCGAAGAAAAACAACCAATGAGAAACAAAAGGCATGACCGATGAGGTGTCAATCTTTTCTCGTGCACGTGGGCACACTCGTAGCGGGCACACCCCCTTGCGGCTCTGCTGAAATCAGAACTAAAAACTGAAAAAAAGGAGTTGGACAGATCCCGAAGCAAAATATCGGGAACTCATGAGGATTCAGAACAGACGTAGAATTTGCATTACTTGTTGCTTGACAGCTGAGTATATCACCTGCGGCTCTGCTGAAACCGAATGCCCATTTCAAATAGCTCAAACTTTAACATTACGAGGGACTGAAGACGATCAACGTAGCAGCAAATGACGGCTTGCTTACGGTGCTAATGCTAGCTTAGCATTGCTAGCGCTGCGACCTTGTTGAAGCTGGATTTGCATTCTTGGTGAATTTGAGGGGCGTGGCTTTGGTCAGAGACTCTTAATTATCCTTCTGAGTAGGAATGTGCGACACAAGAGAAGTCGAGTGCTACACATACAGTACTGGATGGCATCTCGAGTGCGTCTGCATGTTCTGCATTGATGACGTCAGCTCACTTTAGAACTTGAGTGAGGCACAGAGAAGGGAGCGGATCCGGGCCGAGGGGCGGGCGGGATGGAGGGTGGATTCCATGGAGGGAGTCCATCCAGCTGCTTTCGCCGACTCTCGACAGGACGCCGTCAGCAGAAGCAACGCTTGCACATGGCTGACGGATGCAAAAAGACCAGGAACATGTTTGCGGAATAAGAGTGGAACTGCTGCACATGAACGGCTTCCACATGGCGGGTAAGACTGGTTCGCCGCTCCTATGATGGATCGGATCATCCACTGCCAATCAGTGCGTACGTGTGCATGTGCAGGAGATTTTGCCATTAACTGTACTCATGCCCGCGACTGGCTCGGATTGTGTTTATCGAAAGTCGAACCGTGAATAATTGTGATTGTTTAAAAAGTTTGACTGTTGCCACTCCCAGCTAGAGTTTACTCTCAAAGTAAACATAATTCAAAGAGAATTACACGGTGCATTAAAAAAAAAAGAAAAGAAAAACTCCACTAGCTTAATGCTAGCACACAATGCCAAACACCATAGACAGGCTAGTGAATAGCATCGATGTCACGGTGTCATACAAACTTTTAATTTGAACACAGTGGTGCAACACAACATGTAGGCAGCTAATATGAACAATATTCACAGTCATATATTCTTTATCCACTGTGGGGGAAAAAAACACGATTACTATTCATTTAAAAGTTCTGTCACTGTGGCTGAAAGAGGAGTAATTTGTGAAGGAGCAGCATCATGTCCATTGAAGTGAAGTAGAACAAAATGGCAAAAGGAGTTTCATTACTTTACATTCCATTTTTCTTGCAAAGGTTTGAACTTTGAACTTGTTTGCACAAGAGAGAAATGTGAGAAAATGGATTACGAGTATGATCATGGAACAAATTAAATTTGTATCTCAAGGCACGGCTGGCTGAACGCTAAATGTCATTTGATGGCACCAAAATGAATATATTTCAAAATGTTTGTGTAAGCCGAGGTTGTTCCGAGTCCAATTTGACCCGTGTTCGCGAAAATGGATTTGAGATTTACAAGGAAAATGTTGGTCATGCTGGGAATTGCAAAACAAACAGCAGTTGTATCGAAAGTAAGTTTGAAATTCTTCCGTCCGCACCATGTCCGGTTGACATTTCAAGAGTCACGGTTGCTTTGTTGAAGCAAGAACAATTTTTAGCACAAGTCCAACTAAGTACGATTCAAACAAAACACAAACTCTTTGTTGTAGTTTCTGTGCGTGTTTCTTGAGGGATGGCCATCACCAAATGCTGACATCATCAAAGCGTTGGAGGCGAACGCTCAGGCGGGGTTTCATTCTTCAAAACCGCACTGACGCCACCGCAAGGGCTCCGGGTCAGGATCTTTTTTTTTTTCGTGCAACGCTTACTTCCTGTTTTTGTGCAGACCCACTTGTCCAGCGTGACCATTTGATTTACGCCTGATGGGCTGTTTCCCTTCTCCGCCCATTTGTTGCGGTTGATCCATTTTGGGCAAACATGCGAATACCAAACGGCTGCAACCTCCGTGTTCTGGTGGACAGCCGCATGCTTGCCAGACAAACCGGATCAGAGCCCAGCTGTGTTGCAACTCACACACGGTGGGGATTTTTTTTTTTTCCTCGTGAGCAACATTCCCGTTTGGCTTTCTGTCTGCACAAGTGCAACCGCATGCCGAGGTTCCCCTGGATAGACACGAAAATAATGCCTGGTGTGATGTCATCTCTCAGGAATGTTTTGGCACGGGGACCAGAGTTGGCTCGTGGACAAGAGGTTTCAATTTTGAGGTCTCCCGACTCTCACGCACGCACAGAAAAGCCCGTGGGCAATTGAGAAGATGAGAGTGTGAAAATGAGTCAAGCCGCAGTCTTCTCATTGTGAGACTCACATCTGGTCTCTTCCGAATTTCATCGCCAAATTAGATTCGCTGACGAGATTGGCTATGCAGATCCCTGATCCATATGTCACACCAGAACCTAAAAGTCGGAACACATAGACAAGTAGGTAGTTTCCATAGATGGATGAGTTAGTTCGTCGCTAGGTACGGTAGCTTGGGAAATGAGAAAGCAGGTGGGAAGATGTGTTTATTGGTTCATAGAACGTTTTCTACATAAGACAAGATAATACGTAGAAAAAGTCATCAGCAGATTATCTAAGTAATAGCGGTCGGATGGTATAGCTAACCCACCTCAGTTTTTGGGCTACAGTTAGCTAACATTCTGTTCCTGTCAAAGGGGGCTAAGGTTTGTAGTTAGGCTAGTAGTGAAGTATGTTGTTTAGCAGGAGGTAGCTAAGCTAACATGTTCCTTTAACCGGTGATAAGTACCGGTAGCTACAGGGTAGGTTAGTAGGTAGGTTGGTCATTGGTCACTCGGTCCATAAGTGGGAGGGAGGCATGGGGCAAACTAGGAAGGCTGCAGTAGGTCGGAAGATATGTTTCTACAGTAGGGACCTTTGTAGCCAGAGAGATAGCATTGTCTCTGATTGGTAGATGAATAACCGGGCAACCTCGCTAAGTGATTTTTGTCCCATGTTTTTCGAACAGTGTCTTTGTTGTTTGACTGTGCAGATGTGAAGATGTGGGCCTTGATGGGAGCCGTGTGCCTGTGCCACTGTGTCACCGGACAGCTGCTGAAAGGAGCGCCGCGTCTCCTCTGCAGCGTACCAGGGGCGCCGGGACCACCCGGCAAGCCCGGCCCGGGCGGGACCCCGGGAGCAGATGGGAACGCGGGTGTCCCTGGCAGAGATGGCAGGGATGGCAGGATGGGGGAGAAGGGACAGAAGGGAGACCCAGGTATAATATCCAGAGCATACGTGTGCAGTTTCCATATGGTTTCAATTTCATGCCACTATTATTTTTAGAAAAGGTGGGCCTGCGTGAACCTAAATAATTACGTTGTCATTCAACATGCGTGTTTACGGCTTCGTACAGTTATGGAACGGCAATAACAGCTGTTTCCCATGAAGCATATATTTCACCTTAACACGCAAAAAAAAACACTCGGCGAGTCGAGGTGTTCAAAGGCTGCTCGCTTGCGGCGTATTCGTTGCATGAAAAGAGGCGGCTGGAGAACAGATCGTTTGGCCCTTGCGTCGAGTGATTCAAAATGTCAACATGGCCGCGTTCCCAGGTGATTTCATGAATGACACCGCGTTGGGGGAAATGTGTTTCCATTGTGTTCTTTAAATAGCCAACCAGTGCGGAGACAACTCAGGTGTTAAAGGGGAGATGGTATGGTAACTTGGCATTTTTTCATTGCCGGTGCAGTACACAGGCAGTTGGGTCTCTGCTTACTTCATCCCGCCTCCACACCAAGTTTGAAGTAGCCGGCAAGAAAGGCTTTCTTTCTGTTTTGCCGTGTTAGCCCTCAGCAGCCGGTATCATTTCCCTGATGGCAGCGGCGAAGTGTCTGTTGTTGGGGTGCTTGGAAGCCTGGCGGATCCTCATGGCTCTGCAGTGCTTGGTCTAGCTGACCTGAATATTTGAACGGGTGGTCAGACCCTGGTGGTCTCAATGGTCATGCGTCCCCTCAAGATGTTCTCAATATGTGAGGATGACAGATCCAGGGTAAATACAGTATGTGCTACCCACCCTTTTTGAGGGAGTCATTTATTTGTTTGTCTTACAAATTGTATTTCATCACTACTGGCCAGCCATGTAAAATTACAATAATTTGACATTAAATAGTTTTTTAATGAACAATTGTCAGATGAATTTCCACTCAGAACTGAATGCTAATGCGAGACTTTTGTGTTTCAGGTTTAAAGGGCAGGGTGGGCCCCACGGGTAAGATCGGTGAGCGAGGTGAGCGAGGTCCTACGGGTAAACGAGGTCCCGTGGGGGAGAATGGAGGTGAAGGCCCTCCGGGCCCTCTGGGTCACAACGGCGAGAAAGGACAAAAGGGCCAACGTGGCATTCGCGGGATGCCGGGACAATGCAAATGCGGGAGCCTCACACCAAAATCAGCTTTCTCTGTGGGCATCACCAACAGCTACCCGACAGAGAATACACCGATTAAATTCAACAAGGTCCTCCTCAATGAGGGGGGCCATTACAACCCCCAAACGGGCAAGTTCATCTGCGCGTATCCCGGCATTTATTACTTCTCCTACGACATCACCCTGGCCAATAAACACTTGGCCATCGCTCTGATGCACAACGGACAGCATCGCATCAAAACCTTCGACGCCAACACGGGCAACCACGACGTGGCTTCAGGGTCTACGGTGATGTTCCTCAACGCCGAAGACGCCGTGTGGCTTGAGATCTTTTACCATGACCAGAATGGTTTATTTGCCGACCCGGGCTGGGCGGACAGCTTGTTCTCTGGCTTCTTGCTCTACGCAGACACAGACTATTTTGACACACTGGCAGCAGACCATGCATAAGCAAGAGTGAGAATCAAGCTAAGCTAACAAGCTAAATACTCTGGGTTTGATGGTTTAATCATGTATGACAAACTGTTTTTCAGAGGATTTGTGATATTACTGTATTTCCTCAAATAGTGACCGGCCCTCTGTGTCATTGCCTGTGTGGGTTTTGTCTGAGTTCTTCGGCTTCCTCCCAGATTCCATGCATGGTAGGTTGATTGAAGACTCTGAATTGTCCGTATGTAGGCCTGAATGTAAGTGTGAATGGTTGTTTGTGTACATGTGTGCCCTTCGATTGGCTGTCGACCAGTTTGGGGTGTACCCTGCCTTTCACCCTAAATTAGCACAGACAGGCTCCAGCACATCCATGTCGCTGGTAAGGATAAGCGGTACAGAAAATGGCGGGATGGATGATATGGACTGAAATATGTGCCACCAGAAAGCGAATTTGAATCATTTATATTTGAATTTGAATCGCTAATCTTTTATGCATTGAAAAACTGAATTCAAATTACAGTCCATAAATTAACTTTGTATTGTTTAATTTGAATGATTGCATTGAAAAACTGAATCTGAATTGTACAATTTGTATGTAGTAGTTTGGAACCAAAGTCCAATAAACTTCAAACTGAGTTCAGAATTATGAAATCAATTCATTTACTCTGAAACTATTTGATCCTCACTGAGGATGCAACGCTATATATTTTCACCTTAAGATCATTTCAAGCAAATCACTTCTCTAAATAAAGATTCAAATGAGCTGTGACAAACATCCGGGTACTTACGAAAAAACAATCGATACAGAAATGCAAATCTCTTTGTTTGGACAACGAGAGGACCTGGAATTAACACACACTCAAACACACACGTTTGAAATAATTACAAGTGTTGTTTATATTCTGAATCATCCTGCGAGACCCAACGTTACTTACTTCGCAGTTGCGTTGTGGTTTGAGGACAACGCGGCTTCTCGCTTTCCGTAGTAAAGTGGAGCGGAGTCGATGGCGTCGTCATGTTACTAAGCAGCAGGAGGAAAAAAAGTATTGAGTGTAGGCGGGTTAATTGACGCAAGAGCGAATTGCAGAGCATGGTTTGGTGACAGACAGTTGTCAGCAGCCAATGTGCGCTCTCATCCTGTAAACGTCACACTGTTGTCGGACAACTGAGGGAATTAGTAAAGACACTGAAGTGGTTGCCGTGTTAGATTCAGAATACCTTGGTATTAAGCATGTATTTCGGAATTATAGCACGGGAAGCACTAACGTTTTAAACGAGTCCAGTACACCCACATAAAGGGGTTATAATGGACCAAACAGTTACGCTGTATTAATCACATTTTTACGTCAGAGAAATCCGCTACTTTCGCCATGGCTTCCCCGAGGTAATGTAGAATAGTTAGCATCTTTGTATCTTCAACCAATTCGGTCAATCCAATGTAATTCCGCATGAAACAACGACAATAAGGCACGCGGCTAAACTAACGCTAGCTATTCTCCATCCCCTTTTTTCCTAGCGCCATCCGAGATAAGCTGCGAAAGCAGCGGCGATCCTTGCAAGAAACCTTGGGGAAACTCAAACGTGAGGGCGACGACGAGCAGGTAAAATTAATTACACGAGAAGAGGTTTTCAAATATGACTAGCTTTGTCGTCCGGTTTCCTTTTCGGTATTTTTTGTCCAATGTGAGTTTTTGTCAGAGTTGTTTGTTTCTGCCATGTTTTTGTCTTTTTTGTCAGATTTTTGTCCAAGTTTTGTCATATTTTAAAAGATTTTATGTGTTTAACATTTTTTGTCACATATTTCTGTTGCCATATAATTGTCAGTTTTTGTTCGTTTCGTCATCATTTTCTTTTTATCAGTGTTTTCTCAGTTGTTGCTTTTTTTCCAACCTGATTTTTGTCAGGTTTGAATTTTTGCAGTCATTTTTTTGGGGGGATCACAGATGTGATTCTGATTCTGATTCTGATATGGTGCCTTGGGAGGAGCAAGGCCTTTGGGGCGGCATCTTAGTGCCTATTATAAAGAGCCAAACCTGAGTACTTTTATCTTATTTGACTGAAATGCTCAGGCATGCTTGAGTAAATCGTGTTCAACGTGACTCAACATGTTCTTTCCAGGCTCTGTTTCCGTCCTCCAGGCTGAGTGAAGAGTCGCTACAGACAACAATGAGGGTTGGTGTACAGGACGATTTCCGTATTTTGAACGTCTTTTTCCTTGCAATATTAACTATTTCGTTCACTTGTTAACTATGCATGTTATGTGTTGTGTTGCAGGACGCTCAAAGCAGCGAGGAAGACCCTGGAGAAACCCTGAAGCAAAAGTTACGGGCCCAGAGACAGATGAGAAGGAAAAGGGTTTGTCTTGTTCTCACTCAATTCTGACAGGCACAATGTCACACATACTTACATGTGGCAATATTAGTTTAGTATGAGTAAAAGTATTAGTTTAGTATTAGTAAAAACAAGACACAGACACCTACAGAGAGCTCGGTCAGTGACCTGAACCAGAAGGAATTGCTTTGTTTTCTTCGGCCAAATGTGCAACTCATTTTAACACGATAACTTATCACATTAAAACGTGAAACATATCGGTCTAAAATGCTAATTTTATCACATTATTACCGTATATGATATTGAGCTGTATTTTTTTCTGGTGTGGCAGCTATACACTTCTGAAACATCTGGCAAGTTTTTGCCATCATTTCGGTTTGAGATTGTGTCACTCACTTCTCTGCCATCCGGAAGAATAATCCTGATCTTTACAAATAATAACAAATGGTCTCCAATCCTAAGTGTAAATAGAACTTACTGGACTTGCAAATTGTGGTTGTGTTAATAGCTATTGGAGCAGATTTCCACCCAGGAGTTCCCCGCTGATGACGTGCAGGAGCTTGCCAGCGCTCGGCACCTCAGTGAAGATGAAGGCTCTTCAAAGAGGACCACAGACCTTCAGAGAACGAGTGAGTCCTACAAATTCCATGAGAGCTGGGGGGGGGGAAATGGACAACGATATGAGTCAATGATCAAGTAACCATGTCATGTTACTCAGACAGCAATAAAAATACTCCAAATGTTGTTCTTTCACTTTGGAATATGCTGACGTTTCCTAAAGTGACCCACAAAACACCAAAAAGCAAAAATATTCCAAAGTGGCATTTGTAAAAGTGCCACTGAGGCTATTCCGGGTCAAATTTGACCCATCTCTTCTAAAATGGAATTTAGATCTTATCAACGTGTGTTAAAACCCGTCTGTGGCATTTTGCATGTGTAAACTGGTGGGCTTTAATTCGGTTGTTATAACAGATTAAAAAAAAAATGTTGGTAATATTATCTGCATTTTGCAGATTTTTGTGTGTCTAAAACACATCCCTCGCAGTAAATGGGTGTTCACTGTATGTCTCTTTCTAAATGACACTTCTCCTCCCCCCCAATGTATTTCATCGTCGAGGCCTTGCCTCCAAAGCCCCGAAGAGTCGCGCCTCGCAGCAGTTTGACCGCTTTGTCACGCGCCGTTTGGAGGAGAAGCTGAGAGCGGCCAGGGTGAGCGTGGAAGAAATCTGGATGTCGTTCGGGCAGGGCAAGAAGGTGTTCATTTGCGTGTTGTCGTGCGCTCCAGTCGCAAGGCGAAAGCCTCCAGCGTCAGGAGGCGTCGGAGGTCGACGCCAGTCGCCTGCGCGGCCTCCGGGACAGAACGACGGTCACGAGGTCTGACAGAGAGGTGAGTACAGGTGTCAAGATTAATTGACAACTAATCAATCAGCAGATGAATCTGCAACGATTTTGATAATTGAGTGAATGTTGAGAGCCAATTTGAATGGTGGATAAAGCGCGTGGCTGAAGTTCCTCTTCTGCGTGACAGGTGGATTCGGAGGCCGATTCCAGCACTCAGCCTGTTCCTCAGGCCGCCAGCTCTCGGGTGAAGTTCCAGGAGAGCAGCAAATGCGTAAGGCCGCCACTCTTGACTTGCTTCTTTTGCATTTGGAGCACATTCCAATTTTGGGTGTGACGGCAGCCAAAAAAAAGCCAAAAACAAAAACGAACGAATTGACCTATCCCTTCCAATACGTTTGGTCACAGTACACAGACTTATACCATGGCTGAGAGACGCACCAATTTGTCTCAAACCATTTATTTCTATTCCGATTGAACAGGTGGAAAAGGAGCGGCCAACCACCGAGGAGGCGTACAACTTCTTCACGCTCAACTTTGAGCCAGAGCCCGAGCCGGAGGAGAGCACCAGCGGAAAGAGTCAGAAGCAGAGGAAAACGGGCGAGGATGGCGGCCAAGAGCCGGAAGAGGCTGAGGAACCCAGCCCCGAACAAAGCCAAGACCGTGTAAGATGTACTTTGATAACTTGGGATGGAAATGGATCTTTCCGCCGTGACGTCACATGTACTTCCGCTGGGCGGAAAACGGGAGCGTTCCACTCGTAAATGCATCCTTCCGTGTAATTTTACATTTCGACAGCCGTAATATTTTGCTGAATGACTACAACACAACGCAACTGAGCATTTTCCATATATTAGTGAGAAAGTGGCTTCCACAATCCCGTGTTTGTTCTCGCCCCCTCCGCCTTTAGAACGAGGAAGAACCGCTCATGCAAGACGAGGACGGCAACGTCTTTGTCATCGAGCAAACGTCCAAGGATTTTGTGGAAGTCAAGAGCGCAGAGTACATCGGCCTGCGGGCTCTCGCCCTGCGCCACCGCGCACTCGTCTACACGCCGAGCTCTCAAACGGGTATGAAAATGGCTTGTTTGTTGCCGTGTTGCACCGCCTCTTTGCGCTTTTTCAATACCGGCATTATTTCAAGGTCTTGGTCCTCGTGAAGGCTGCCGATACCAAGCACCGATACTTAATGCACTTAAAGGTGGTGCTGCACTGCAGCCTTTTGACACACCAGCGAATGAGAAAGACAAAAAGGTGTTTTTTTTTTTTTTTCATCATTATCCGTCGTTGTGTTAATTGTACAACTAAAGTACCAGTCGTATCGGTACTTGTTATCGGTATCAGTGAGTACTCAAGCAATAATATGTACTAGTATCAGTCTAAAAAAAACTGTGGTGTCGTGTATCCCCAAGATTAATTTGTTCCTTGACGAAGCATGGAGCTGAATTTACTTTTATCATCTTGTTTATAATGAAGACAAATAAGACAATATTGGCTTTAAAAAAAAAAGTTTTCCCACCTCCGTGTCATAGTGCCAATCTCAGTGAAACTCCCCGAGAACGTGAGGCCTCGCTATCTGGAGGAGGAGGGTCTTTACGTGGGCGAGCGGCCTACCGTGACGTCCACCAACGAGAACATTCTGGAGAACCGCATTTTGAAAATGGAGGAGGTGAGTTTGCCGACACGCCTTACCGCCGCCGTCTTCCTCCAGTGTGTCCTTTTGGCACTTTTTTTTTTCTGTTATTCCTTTGAGGGAGCCAAATGGTTCGGCGATGACGGCAGGATCATCGCTCTGCCGGACCCCATCAAGGAATCCTCTACCAGGCCGCCGCTCTTCCATATGGAGGACGACCTGGATCCCGCCCTGCAAACGGTGTACAGGAAGGTCAGCTGTCACCATCCATACATCATCCAAAGTGGGGTTGCGACATTCCAGGAAGTTTCACAGTTGCAAACCTTTGATCGGAATTCATGGGAATAAACCGGGGCTTTACAAAATTGAAGGTTGTCTCTTAATAGGCTGCCTTTTTTTTTTCTTTATTGTGTTACGAGCTCTGTGCAGAATGTTTACATTCATGCTTGAATGTGCGTGACTCTCACTTCACAGTTAATACCCAAGGCAAGTTTCCCATTTTGGGATATTTCCATAATTCCACAGCTTCAAGTCTCAGGAAAATTGACTTAAAATGTTTCACCACCTTCGTGCACTGTCATGTCTTTTTTTTTTTTTTTTGTGGATTTCATTGACAGTCAGATTTAGTGCACCGCAGTCTGGTTTGACATAACGAATGTACACAGGCGTTCAAATCAATTGTTTGACTTTAATTTCCCCAATTTTGGCATCGCCGCTTCTTCAGCCGCTCAATTCCAGGCACGTCCAACAGCACAGCACCGACGCGGCGGACGGCGTCGCGGAGGGACGCTACCAGCTGGACGTGGATGTGTCGGGACTCATCTTCGCCCATCACCCGCTCTTCAGTCGCGAGCACGTGCTGGCGTCGCGTCTGGCTCAGCTGTTCGACCAGTACCTCAGTCGACAGCGCAACAACCTCGCGGAGCACCTCACGGACAAGGTTATGGCGCTGCTATGTTAATATCAGCGGAATATGTGTCATGCTCGGCAGTAGAAAGTGTGAGAAAAGATTCCAAAAAGTCGCGTTCATTGCTTATTGTTGACGGTTAAAATAGAACGGGTTCAGTGATGCATGCGTTGGTGTGCTGCAGTTGAACGGCTTGAGGAACACCATGAGGAACATGCTGGAGATCCACAGCGAGCTGAGCCTCTCCCAGGCCATGCAGCAGAGGATCGTAGAGTACAGCGTGGAGGTCAAGTCAGTGGTCTCGGCTTGCCGTCCCGACCCGATTTCCCCGTTACCCGCACAATTTTTCCCACCATCCACGTCCGGATGTCCCGACAGGAACACGCGTCTACTGCGGGACGGTGAGCAGGAGAAGGACAGGATGCTGCTGAAGAGCTTGATCAAAGTCTGGAAGGAGCTCAAGGCCCTCAGGGAGTTTCAGAAGTTCGCCAACACGCCTTATAAGCTCTATCTGAGACGGTAAGCGTTTTGGGTTTTTTTTGTTTTGTTTTTTTCCCTCTACTCTCTTGTGCTTTAACAGGCCAAAACATTAGGTACATCTGTTTTTTTTTTTTTTTTTTTTTTATAAACACACAGTCCAGCAGCTGCTGGCCTTTTGTTCTTTCAATTGTATCTTTTTTTTTTAATTTGAAAAAAAGGGCTATGTCTCTACTTCACAATGTCATATTCACGCACGCCTGTCTTATTTCACCGGAATTCAACTTGCAGACATATTTAAGTGACAGTTGTTTGATGTCCAATTCACACAATGCGCTGCAAAGAAGTGTGTCCGTACTCTGTGTGACACTTATGTCGTGGGCCCCAGGGAGAACGTGGACCGCCAGTCGGACGAGCGCCAGTACGAGAGCGACATTTTGTCCGAGGTGTGGGAGCTCGAGGCCGAAGGCGAGGTAGACTACCAGAGCAAGCTGGCCGAGTACAAGAAGCAGCTTGGCGAGTGGAAGGCTTGGAAGAGGAAACAGGTGGCCACACATGTGCATGTCTCCGCCGTGATCGTTACGATATCAAATCCAGTGGTATGAGGTCAGGAACAGCAAAGCCTTCTCGGCTTCAGAAGCACTGACTGACATGTACGCGCAAACATTTGGCTTGGCTGAGCTGCTTCCATTTCATCATCTCTGTTGCCTTGCCATTCTCATCTGCCAAATGTCTTTGCAGTTATCACTGTTGGCCCATGTGATTTGAAACCTTTAATTTAAATCTTACCCTTGCCTTGATGGCCTCTTGCTTGCTCATGCAGGGTTCGCTTGGTCTCTTAATTTAAGTCAAGCAGGAGAGGTGGGGGAGAAGCAGCAGTAAAACAGGCCAAAATCCCAATGTCAGGCAGGTTAAGAGACCAGTTGCATAACAATAACGGATCGTACATTGCTCTCTGCAGAAATCCAAGAAGAAGAAGCGAAAGAAGAAGAAAGGACAAACTCAGGATGAAACAGAAGAGGAAGACCAAGAGGTGAGCGAATCCGAGGGGCCCGACGAAGAAGGGCCTCCCAAGCCGGAGCCCCCGGAAAAGCTGGACTTTGAGGTCATCAAGCAGCAGGTCCGCGAGAAAGCGTCCAGAATACGCCGCAAGCCTGGCGAGGCCAATCTGATTCCGGAGTTGACTGCTTCTGGAAAGATTTCTGAGGCCGAGCTCTGCCCCAGGTACGAGGACCGTGAGTTTTGCGGCCGTCGGCAAATACCGATTGACTGTGTGAGATTAGGGAGGAATCTCATTGATTTTGAACAATGGCTACTCTGGTAATGTTCTAATGCCCCTTTGGTAGAGGCGAATTGGCTCGACGAGAGGACGTTGCCAGACGCTCAGTTTTCATCAAGATTCTGTACAACGATAAGGAGGTGTCGCAGACCAACAGCCGCATGCTCACCTCTGACTTCAGAGTGCACTTTGGGGAGATTTTCAACCTGAAGATCGTCAACTGCCCCCGTAGCATTACCTTACAGGTACGGCATGTTTGCTTCATCCACACACGATGGACTAGCTCCTGACCTTTTCACCATCACATCACATTTATTTGCGCTTTCTCTGCATGCACCGCTCGTAAACAATGCCTGCATATCTCAAGTATTAATGCCTCATCCCTGGTGCTTGCATTTTAGCCTGTTTTACTGCCGCTTCTCCATTTACAACATCCACTCGATTTAACCTCCTCACCCACATGTTCCACTGGATTCATTTGATTTTTATTATTAATATCGACATTTTTTTAAGGAAATTGAAAAAAAAATCTTTCGGGGGACACAACCCAAAACACAACAATTTTGGTCATTATTTTCAGTTCAGCGCTAGCCACTTTTTGCTAGTCGCATTTTGCTACCAGGAAATACCGTGTTTCTAAACATGATGACAAGATCTATTCCACAAGCTATTTGGCATCCATATTATCCGCGTATTTGCGCTGTACAGGTCTTCGAGGAGGTGGGATCGTCGTGCTTGCTCCTAGCACAAGTCTACGTGCCTGTGCCACATTCCTCGGTGTTGCCGGCCAATGCCTCCATCGAGGAGTTTGAGTTCAGCAGCAACCAGAGGGTGATGTTTGACCACGAGGGCGTGGGCAGTGGTCAGTGTCTCTCTTTTTAAATGTATTTAACCGCAGATCATAATAATACAGTCGATAAAGTTCAATAAAAGAGGGGCGGACCTAAAAAAGAGCCCCTCATGAGGTCACTGATGCGCAAACCTCCATCAAGCCCAAACAATGATAATTTGGTTCCATTTTTTTTCATGCATTGTTTTTTTTCATATTTGTAATTTCATTTTTGTTTTGATGATGAAATACACAGATGTTCCCCTTTCCTTCACGGCCGAAGGCAGTGACAACGTGATCCTTCTGACCTCCGGCAAGGTGTCGTGCTGCGTTTCATGGGGCGTCGACGAGGACGACGTGCCACTCGCGCCTCCCATGTCTCAGCATCCCAGCATCCTTCACGGGTAGGCGAGCCAATTGTTTAGATTTTTTTTTTTAATTGCTTTTTGTTCTGCAACATATTGAGGTTATTATAATTAAAGACAACAAATGAAAAAAACTAAACTTGAAAGAACATTTTTGTGAACAATAAAAACAAAAATGCTTCAAAAGATGAATCAATAACTGAAACTAATAACTTGCGATTTTACATGTTACTGTATTGTATACAAGCAAATGATTCGAGCACTGAATGCATTTTTCCCTCACAGTGGCGTGGGTCCTGTTGACGCCATCTCCCACATCGGCTCATCCGGCGATACGAAAAAAATCAGCGAGTGGGCCATGCAGTCTCGACTGGACCCCAACGATCCCAAAAATGCCTCCATTATGCAGCTGCTTAAAGTATGCACCTAAAAAAAAAAAAAAAAACATTCAGTCACCACACAAACGTGTCACGTACACGTGTCTTTATTTGTGTGTGCATCAGGTGGCCAGCAGCGGCGAGGTGACGGCCCCTGACTACTTCCGTCTGGAGCAGCTGCAAGAGGAGTTCAACTTTGCCAGCGACGAGGAATTGGCGCAGTCACGGCGCTTCCGCCTGCTGGCGCTCCGGAACCAGGAGGTGCCAGAGTTTCGCAACTACAAGTGCGTCCCCTCTCGCGAGAGAGAGGTCACCGATAAAGTGTTTCAGGTAAGTGGCAGTGACAGGACCTGTCACGGCATCAAGAAATGCGATTTGACAGAGGTGGTGTCTCGTAAGCAGCCTGAAACATAATTGAAAAAATATGCTGAAAAGATACATACCGGAATGTCGTTTTCAAATTTTAAAAGAAACCATTTGTTCGGAAAAGAGAAGTCATCTGAAAATTATGGTCTATTCGCTGTGGAAAAGTCCTGGTTTTTTTTTCTCTTCCCCTTACAGGACTACGAAAAGAGGCTGAAGGAAGGCGAGATCATCGACACCAAAGAACATCTCGATTCCCATCGAGCCTTGGTTGCCAAGTACCTCCAGAAGGTGATTGAGCAAAGCAATCGGATGTCACTTGCTATCAAATGTTTCAGAGGGTTCTTCGGGTAAATGGCGGCTCATCGTTCAAGCTGCTGTATTCACCTGCAATGAACGGACGTTCAGAGTAGTCCTGCTTACTGTATTGTGGATGTTTAAAGAAGCTGGGAGAGGGGAAAAAAAAAACCAGACTTCACATTGTATTCACCTGCAATGAACGGACGTTCAGAGTAGTACTTTCCCGTCGACAGATTCGTGAGGCAGTAATCCACAGGTTCCTCCTGGCCAGCCATCACTTCCTGCTGTCCGACATGGTCATCGAGGAGGAGATGCCGTGTTTTGGGTAACTTATTCCAAAAGTGCTCATTCCGCTCAACTGCATTTGCATCATTTCAGCTCATCTCATGTTGTAGACCCTTTCCTAGTGTTTGTAAGCAAAGGCTACATCCAGGTGGCGGAAAAGTAAGCAGCCATCGCTGACTGGAACTGAAAGCCATGACAAAAAGCTTTGGGTTATTTGCAAGGAATTAAAAAATGGGCCCAGAAAAAACCGGAACTGAAAGCCATGACAAAAAGCTTTGGGTTTATTTGCAAGGAATTAAAAAATGGGCCCAGAAAAAAAGCTCCATTTTTTTCCCCCCAGAGCTGCTTGTATAAAATGTTTGATTGGGCTGTCTGAGTAATTTCGCAAAACATGGCTAGCCTGCTAGCTAACGTTAGCCCTATAGGGCGCTATACGTTTGAGCATTCTGTCCCCCCTTCCAAGCAATTTACGTCACTTCACATCTTTTCAAATGGCACTTCAAACAGTTAAACTACAACGGTAGAGAAGAAGGTTCAAATTACAGTTCGCCATTGTTGTTCCTTGGTCAAATGACACGGAAGGGCTCGCTTACTCACGCTGCCACCTGGAAGCACGTCATAGTGAATAGAAACCTTCGATTCTGTTGTGGGTTTCTCATGCATGTTGCATGTCCTCGTAGAGAAAGCACTAACTTCATTTTATGTCTTGTATTTCCTCTGCATGTTTTTTTCTGTCTATTTCTGTAACAAAATCAAACACACACAAAAAAAATGAAAAGCGGAGCACATTTGCAAAGAGTGCCAGATCGCCACCTTCGAGATGGCGGTGCATTTTTAGAGCTGAGGAATCCTGAGCCGATAGAAATGACTGGCAGGGCAGAGTTGCTGATGTAAGTACGAGTAACGTGTATCTACGTCTTCGGAAGTGGAACTATAAGCTTTTTTTTTTTTAAATTCTGGGACCAGTCAAGGCGCCATTTAGGAGCAGTTTGCAATCACAAAGGGGTTTGTTTGTCTGGGTTTTTTTTCCCCAAACCTAGTGTCTTTTGATCATGTTTTCTGTTTTACTTATCTCTTTGTTTTCTTCTGCTATGCATGTTTAACAGCGGTGCCGGTCCAGGGTATGTTCAGTATGTTCTTGTTTACCCCCCCATTCCCCATTCCCAGCTAGTTAGAACACATAACCCAACCCAGTAGCTCCCTCCACAGCTTTGCTGAGATTTTTTCTTAAATGTAACTCCAAATTGTTCAAAAATATGGAAAGATTTGCGTTTTTTCTTACCTTTCCTCCAATCGTGATTCTCATCCCAGTTTCCTCTTGCTTTTACTTGTGATTGCCATGTATGAAAGCGACAACAACGAACTGGTTTTGCTAAAATGAGGATGAAGCAGTTTCCTTCCTCACAATCGTCCCATAATGTTAATTTGTGCCGGTTTTCATGACAACAGTCGCAACTGAAAAATAGATTGCGCAGGAACCTTCTTGAATTCTGATTCTTTTGGAAGTCCAACGGTCTTTGTTCGTGTAAATCCCTGGCGGGGACTGAGCAATGTTAGCAGATAAAATCCTGTTGCCTTTTATTTATTTCTGTGAAGACAATTTGTCCTGAAATGTAGATCAGGGGTGTCCAAAGTTTTTCCTCTGAGAGCAGAAGACGGAAAAACGAGAGGATGCCAGAGCCACTCTGATATTCTTCAACTTTATATAAACACACCTAAACCAATCCATCAAGCCGTTAGGTACAACATTTATTTGTCAGCGTTATTTTGAAAGTGGAACCTCGGGTTTTGAATAATCTGTTCCAGCAGGTCTGCCTAAAACCGAATCTTACAAAATCCAAATTACAATTTCCCACCTGGTCTGCTTGGCAACTCTCTTACAAGTTGGGGTCAATATCGGCGTAATACAACCTTGTCAAATGTCAAGTCTTCAAAGTAAAAGCATGTTGGTATCATAACAGTTTCGCTACACTTTGATTATGCACACAATGGGTTTTGTTTTTAGCAGTCGCCAAAGAGAGTCAGCCGGACTTTGGACATCCCTGATGTAGATGAACATACACCACCACCGAATTTGCTGACTAAATATTTTGTGGGGAACCATCAGGATTTTGGGCCTCAACCTCTTCCACTTGGCTGAGCCCAAGCGTCCTCTGAAGCCTCAGAGGAAGGAGAGGAAGAAGGTGACGGCTCAAAACCTGTCCGACGGAGACATCAAGCTGCTGGTCAACGTCCTGAGGGCGTACGACATCCCCGTGCGCCGCTCGCAGAGCAGGTGAGCGGAAGTCCGCCGCACAACGTTGCACTTTGTAAATGCGCCCATACTTGTTTCCCAAGTCATCGACGCGCATCTGCATCATCTTGTCAGCATTCACTTGAGATCATTTGGCAAAATACCCTCACCCAAAAAAACGGAAAATGCATTCACGAAACACAGCAGATCCTTTTACTTACAAGAACTGATGATGTTTTGACGTTTGTGAAGTTCGTTACTGCCATCGAGCGGTAGAGTTCCTGAAATTCATTCTCAATTTGAGCGACATAAAGCCAAAAAAATGATTGCAACAGCGCAAAACTGGGGCACATGTGATGTCGGGGCGCCACTGAATTGTGCGTTATTTTCTCTAATATGTAACTTTGTCTTTATATTTTAGTAAAGCAGGACAGTCACAGGGTGCCATCCAGGCCAGTGACTGGCTCATCAGCCAGGTAGGACGGACGGACGGACTCACTGACGGCGGCACGTCAGGCTCAATGACAAGTGACGAGGTGTTTGTGTTGCGGAGGCAGGTCCAGGTGAGGCCCTTCGTGGAGGTCTCCTTCCAGCGCAACGTCTTCCAAACGACCACCGCCGACGGGCCCAACCCCTGCTGGAACGAGGAGCTGCAGCTGCCTTTTCGGTAAACCCGAGTCTTGTCGGCTGATGTAAACAGCTCAAATTTGAGGATAATAAATGCTCCTTTTTATTTTTCTCCCCGCCCCCATCAGCGCGCCAAACGGGGACTATAGCATCGCCAGCTTGCAGTCGGTCAAGGATGACGTCTTCATTAACATATTTGATGAGGTGGTTCGTGACATCGGGATGGTAAGCCGTTTGTTTTTTTCGTCGAGATGAGTGTTGTCAGCTTGGTCGAAACGTGAGAGCTTGTGGTGTACGCAGAGCGACAAAGACAAAGACAAAGGCAAAACGCTGCACACTCGGGTGGAGAAGCACTGGTTGGGCTCCGTCAAGATTCCCTTCAGCACCATCTACGCGCAGTCCAGGGTCAGACGCTTTCTTTCATAGGGGAGATGATACTAATCTAAACAGTGATACTAAGGAAACTAATCTGTACAGTGAGATACTACTCTCTCCGTGGAGAGATTACATTTTTTATACACAAACACACACACACACACACACACACATATATTTAATAATTTGAGAACATCAACATATTCTGGAAATAAAAACACCAATATCAATGTAAGAATAAGATATTTGAAAGGTAAGCAAATATGATATATCCAGAGAGAAAAAAAATGGACAAAATGTTGGATGAAATCTATGCACTTGCCACCTGAAAAATCCAACCTGTGGACAAAAATATGAAGTGATAAATGTTCACATTTCCTTAAAATAAATACATAAATACACAAATACTGTGAGTAAAAAAAAAAGAAAAGACTTAGAAAGTTACCAAAATATTAGACAAAAATTGTGACAAAAATTTGATTTCCAAATGGACAGAAAAACACAAACGTTGGAAAAATAATAAAAATATTAAAATATTACATGAAGGAAAACTACTGACGTCTCACTCAAGTATTGATTGAAAAATGCAAATCTTTAAAAAGAAACAGATTCACAAATATTAAATGATAATAATGCGTGCGTGTGCGCATGGCGGCAGATCGACGGCACGTTCAAGGTGAACACGCCGGCCGTGCTGCTGGGCTACAGCAAGGAGCGCAGCAGCAGCAACACGGGCGCCTACGAGGCCATGCAGAGCCTGTGCCAGGGAGCCTTCATCACGCTCTTCATCACCATCGAGCCTCAGCTGCTGCCCGGCGAATCCATCAGGGAGAAGGTCGGCCTCTTGACGTGTCGCCACGACGACAGCCACTAGTATGCATGTGTGACCACTTGGACCGCCTTGCCTCAAATAGTGGCCACCGACGCACCCATCTCTATAGTTTTGTGTCAATTTCACTTTTTTTTTTTTGTACTTTTCAAAAAAAAAAAATGCTTCGAGCATGTCGTTAACACTTTTGTTTGCACTTTTTTGTTTTGAATCTTTCCCCAGTAGTCCCCGCACTGTCATTCATTTCTCTCCTTTCTGCTTCTCTGCATGTTCTAGATAAAGGAACTCAAGGTAACCCGTCTGCTAGCGTCGCACGTCAGCCGCTCCTTTCCCGCCTTCCTCTCCTGCCCACCTTTGAATTTCTCCTCTTCAGTTTGACAGCCAAGAGGACGAGCGTCTGCTGCAGGCAGCCGAGCGCTTCGAGCGCGTGGCGGCCGCCGAGTTCCCGGGCCGGCCGTGCACGACCACCGTGGTGGACCTCAACGGCAAGACGGTCTTCATCACACGCTACATACGACCGCTCAACCCGCCGCAGGAATTGTTGGCCGAAGAACCTCAGGAGGCCACGGTGAGACTTTGTGGTTCAAGCACTTGAAAGTTTGTTCTCGTCGACTACAAAATAAATGGTGCCGTTATTGATGGTACCATGTACGGATTATGAATGCCATTTATCCATAAGAGCCTCTTTTTAAATGACTGTGTGTACTGTCGTGTTCATAGCTTGGGTGTGTGCCTTTAAGGGGCGTGGCCTAGTGCCTGAGATCAAGAACTTGAGTCAGTGAGTCCATTCTGAGCATTTGTGCTTCCAGGAACTCCCTGCGAGTGTTGTCATTTTCTATATGGGCGTTTAATTGTTGATCTCATTCAATCATTCTGAAACTTCAAGCTCCAAAAGTTCACTGAGGTGGCACAAAGCAAAAATCAGACCAAGTGACAACTTTTTAGACAAAAAGAACTTGAATGTTGCAGGAGCACTATGTAAGTCGCATGATTTCTCTCCACGCAGGCCCAGGTGGCGCGCTTTGTGTCGCTCATTCCGTCTCTACCGGACAGAGTGTCCTTCGCTGGCATCTGTGACCTGTGGAGCACCTGTGATGTCAGTATCATGTCCTCGAGACCAGACTGTGTGTGTGTGTGTGTGTGTGTGTGTGTGTGTGTGTGTGTGTGTGTGTGTGTGTGTGTGTGTGTGTGTGTGTGTCTGTGTGTGTCTGCTTGTGTGTGTAAGTAGACGCTTTCTTGGACCATATCAAGGAATTATTTTGGATACTTCTTTCCAGCAATTCCTGACGTTGCTGGCTGGAGATGAAGAGGAACACGCCGTGTTGTTGTGCAACTACTTCCTGTTCCTGGGCAAGAAGGCTTGGCTCGTTATTGGCACTGCCATACCGGAGGTTAGGCAGCCATTCTGTGTATGCGGTGCCGCATCAATTTGATTTAATTTAAAAAAAAAAACTCTTTGTTCCTTGTCAGCGACATGACCATGTGAAGCGATTTTGCGTCCGTCCGGCTGCTTTTCAAAGGTTGTTTTGTGTTGGCAGGGCTCCAGCGCCTACGTGCTGACGCTGGAACAGGGCCGCTACCTGATCTGGAACCCCGGCAGCGGGCAATACTACGGACAGTACGACACCTTCTGCCCCCTGCAGGCGGTCGGCTGCCTCGTCAATGCCGACAACGTCAGTCAATAAACCGCTTGCAACAATCGTGTTGTAAAAACACACCAAAAAAAGCATTTGAAAAAATTAACAGTTGAATGATGGTTTTTGTTTTTAATTTTAACATTTCCGGAAGGATTACCGTAATTTCCCCAATTGAAGACACCACCTAACATAATTATAATGAGAAGTAAATCGTTGTTTGTTTGTGGCAGGTGTGGTTCAACATTCAAGAGCACACGTCCCCCATGAGGATAAGCTTCGACGTGAGCCGAGCCAATGGCTGGAGGCCCTTTTTTACACGCTCCTTCGCCCATCCCGGACTCTCCAGCGTGCAGGTGACTATACCGCACTTGTTTGTACGCACGGCTGGCAATTATTTCATCATACATGTGGTTATGTGCATCGTTGCGCAGCCAGAAGAGCTGGTATACCGACACTCGGACAAAGCGACCGCAGTCGAGCTGCAAGAGAGGTGAGCAATTCCCATTGTCAGGGGAAAAAATATTTTGGGGCTCTTTTCAATCGTTGTTTAAAATATTTTGTCATGTTTAAAAAAAAAAAAGGATTTTATATTGTTTTTAGTATTTTGCTGGTCATAGCGAAAATATTTTCATTCAATTAATTCTAATGTAGCTGTCCTGTTTGGGTAGTTTCAAAGCTCTCTATTTGAAAGAGCGGAATTGTTGTCGCGTCAGGCTGGAGAAGCTGCTGCGCGACAAGCTGATGGAGTGGCGCCCCCACCGGCCCACCCGCTGGAACCGCTACTGCACCAGCGCCCTCAAGCACTTCCTGCCCAGTCTGGAGCAGGGCGCCAGCGGCCCAGGCGGCAACGCCGGACGTGATCTGGCGGAGGGTCACCGGCACGAGCTGCAGAACCTGCTGGGTGACAACCGGGTGAGCGGCGACAACAACAAAAAGAGTTTTCAGTTCTGCCGATTTTTATTCATTCATTTATTTATTTTACATGTATTTTTCAGGACGCTGCCAATTCTGATACTTGGCAGAATAAAATTCTGATAACTGATTAATGAGACGATGAAATAAAACTAGATATAATCATGTTTGGTGTGGCTCCTTCATGGGGTCTGACGCTTCATTCCCCCCGCCAGATTTCGGGGTTCCCGCTGCACATGGCTTTCTCGGAAATGGGTCCCGTGGTGGAGGCGGTGCACAGCACGGGGGTGCACACCATTCAGACAGCCAACGTGGAATTCGCCTTGGCCGTCTACGTCCACCCATACCCCAACAACGTACTCTCTGTCTGGGTGTACCTCGCTTCTCTCGTGCGTGCCTGACAGGCACACAAACCAGCAACATACGAAATATAAAATTAGCTTCTTTCCACCGATTACAACTTCACTTTTGTATCATGAGGTAGGACGGTCGGTGGTCGAGCCCTGCTCCCAACGGCGAAAATCGCAAATACGACATATAAAATTAGCTTCTTTCCACCTATTACAACTTCACTTTTGTATCATGAGGTAGGGTGGTCGAGCCCTGCTCCCAACGGCGAAAATCGCACAAAAAGCTTTGTACGTTCCGATAAATGCCACAAGAGGTCAGCATTTCTCTCTTCGTATGAGGGTAAA